ACAAATCTTTTTTTTTAAATAATATATCCATCGGAATTCCGTCGGTTTGCGTAGCCGTCAGAAATCCGTCGGTTTTGGCTACCGTCGGAAATCCGTCGGTAAATGATTCTGTCGAAAATCCGTCGGTAATTGGAATCCGACGGACTTCCGACGGATTCCGGTTATCCCTTTTCCGTCGGAAATCCGTCAGTATTTCCGACGGATTTCTGACGGATTTTTATTTTCGACGAGATAGAACCGACTGACCAAAACCGTCGGAAAACCGTCTGAATAGAAGTTATTCCGACGGATTTCCGACAGTTTTGGCCGTCGGAAACGACCCTGTTTTCTTGTAGTGGATACTCAGAATAATGGTCGTTATCAGATCCTACTCAATCTCTAATTCGAATAGGTTTTTATGGTTAGAAGAGCAATTGATGAGATTAAAACATAATATTTTATTAACGAAAATTATATTAGTTTATTATTTTTATTCTTTTGACTAATTTCTTAATTTGAAATTTTTTATCTCACTTTTGTAAATAGGTTCCCACGATTTAATTATTTTTTTGTATTAGCAATCTCATATTCACCTTATAGTGCGTAGATCAAGATAAAGACTTCGAGGTTCTTACATTTGTAATGAATATTTGCGTAGTACAATATGGCACAATAATTTTCACATTAATAATAAGCTCCCGTCCTAGCCATTAGTAAACGACAGCAAATTTTTACATCGATGTCTCCACGTACATTTGATCAAAGTTTTATGTACACATTTTTTAAATATCATCAATTAAAATATTATCTACCAAAACATCACACTTCTAAAAATTCAAAGTTCAATTAATATCAGATTTCTAAAAAATATGTAGATAGAAGTATGGTGATTGTCATTTAACTGGTAATTTTCATTAAAAACCAAATCGAATTAAAATTTTAGTTCTTGGTGCAAAACATTGCATACGAATTATTTTTTTCTATAGCCGAACTGAATCGCACCATATTTTTTCAGTGTGTGAGGGTTAAAACTCTTTTACGGTTAAGGTTTCCCTCTTAGGTTTACCTCCTTTTACTTTGCTAAAAATTAAACGTTTTAATTTGCTAAAAATATAAATGATATATCCATAAATTAAGAAAATATAATAATAAATCATTAGTATAAAATGAGTATTTGATCATAACATTTTATTTTATTGTTTTAGTAACCATGCCATAGTTGTTGTTATAATTTTCACTAAAAAGAAATATTGAATTAAAATTTTATTTATTTTTGCAACGTTACATACAAGCTAAAATTTTCTGTAGCCGTATTGAATTGAATCGTAGTTTTATTCAGTATGTGAAGGTTAGGACTCCCCTAAAAAACTTATGTTTTAATTTTGTTAATAACATATTAATGAATTTACTTAACAAGAACAAGAAGAAAGCCTCCAAATAAAGAAAAATATGGGATCAAAACAAAAACAATTAAAAGGTAATTAAAACATCTATATTTATAAATTTAGTATTTTTTTTTTTTTTTGCAGTAGGATCTCTGAAAGACCATAGATTTTTGTTGTGTTTAGTTCTGACTCATCAAAGATATAGAAGTTAAGGATTCATCCCATCCTATTATCTAAGTACTCTGCCCCATTGTTTCATGGTTCCATATAGCTACATCGTGTTTAGTTGGCCTTTTTTATAAAATTCAAAGATTTGGTATGTTTTTGGTCCACGTACACAAGCATCTGAGTTTGAAAAGATTTCCACCCAAGACGAGGACAATGCGTTTGTTGATAAGCTTAATGAGGCATGTATCATATTTCTTTCCATCTAAGTGTAAGTGTTTGACACTAGAGTGGTTTTTAGTGTGCAAGATTGGCTATACATGGACAGTGAGGATGCTAATGTCACATAGTCTCACTAAAATCCACTGGTAGTTTCATATCTTTCCGGTTTGTTGTCTTCCCTACTTATCTTGATTTTACTGGAGCCTTGCTGAAAATGTTCTTACAAACCATGTGATATGAATCTGTACATATCATATGAGTTTAAAACAACACATGTAGCAACAAGACGTTTTAAAGATGTTTTTTTGCAGTTTCTCAAGATGATAAAAAAAAAAAATTGTTGAATTTCTAACAAATTGCATATTGTAAAAAAGTGGGAGACAAACAAACTTGTCTACGAAAAGACAAACTTGAGGAAGTCGAGGTTAGTTTACGTGGAACACATACATCTCTTTCTCTACCAAGAAGCCTCTCTAGTGTAATGAAAATCGATTGCTTATTTAATTTGGATTTGTTTGTGTGTTTGGTGTATTCAAACAAATGCAAACACCTTTTTGTGTGATATGATGTAGGGAGAACTACTTTGTTTAGAAACTCCAAGTTTTTGTATTTTTCTGGGATTAGGGTTTGTTGGTGTGCGATATGGTAATGACTTCTTCAACGGAAAACAAAGACAAACCATACCCATGGTATTTGAAATCCCAATAGATGTATGTTTAATTTTGTAATGTGTATAAATGTTTTGATAACTTTTCCCGAAAGTAAGAATTTTGTGTAGTAATGAACATGTATAATTTTAAAATATTTAGATGATTGTTATGAATATGTATCAATGATTTTAAAATCACACTATAAATAAACCACATAAATATCTCATATCAAAACATAAATCCACAATATAGAATTTTATATATATATTCCTATCTTACAAAAGAAGAATAAGAAAGTTAATTACTTTTTTTTGTAAT